CCCCCTTGCTCGAACCTGCTCGACCCAGCTCGAACCTGCTCGACCCTGTTCGACCCAGCTCGACCCTGTTCGGTCTAGTTCGAACCTGCTCGACCTAGTTCGACCTAGCTCGAAACTGCTCGACCCCGACCTTCGAACCCCAATGCTGTCTCTTCGACCCGCATCTCTGTCTCTTTCTCTCTGTGTCTGTTTTCTCTGTGTGAACTGTTTTATTTTTTGCATTCCACCCTGCTATTGTGATCGTCCGTGCCTGCTGATATCGTTGGAAGTCAAGTCTCCAGAAACAGCCATGATGGTTTCAGATCGTCCGCCGTCGCTGACAGGTTGGTTGTGTGTCCTCTCGTTCGTCGATCTCTCAGCATGCTCCTTCAAAGATTCCGGCTGTGAAAAGTGAGCTTCAAAGTTTCCCCCCGCGTAGATTAGTCACAGCACGTCGCACGACCACGAGTGTTCTTCCCCACCCCTACCCCCGCCCTCACCTACCAGGCCTGCACGCTCCCCGAATGACGCGAGGCCGCCGTCGCGAGGTACGTAAAACTCCCCCGTTCACATCCACCAGCTTGACGCAAACGATTCGTGACGTGGGAAAAAAACAAGGTACGTGCTCCTCATTCGGAGCCTTCCGCCCCGAGTTTACCCGAGCTCCGCCGAGATCTCCCTAACTCATCGCGGAGCTCGGAACAAACTCGGCCGAACTCGGCGCGAACTCTCCCGATGTAGCGCGAGTCCTCCCGGAACGTCCGACGAAGGCGGCGAGGCGAGGCGAACCGAGCCGAGCATAGCCGAGTCCGCCCGAGCTCTCCCGAGCGAGTTCGGGCCGCCGTAGTGGGCGCGCTTCGCCGCCGCGCCCGTCCGCGCTCACACGCGCGTGCGTGCGGACGGGAGCGTGCGGGGCGCACGTTAACACGCGTGCGTGCGCGCGCGGCCCGCAGGCGGCTGGCGGACGACGACGACGAGCTGAGCGAGGTGCAGCCCGACGCGGTGCCGCACGAGGTGCGCGAGTGGCTGGCGTCCACGTTCACGCGCCAGCTGGCCACCACGCGGCGCTCCACCGACGAGAAGCCCAAGTTCCGCACGGTGGCGCACGCCATCCGCGCGGGCATCTTCGTCGACCGCATCTACCGGCGCGTCAACTCGTCCGCGCTCATGAGCTTTCCCCCGGAGGTCGTCAAGGTGCTGAAGGTACGTCCCAACCAAAAAGAAGTGTTTATTGCTCGCGCGAGTTTTCTTAGAACTCCCTAGGCCTTGCCCAGCGCTGAATAGCACACGACCCGTCGAAATACTTAGGTCCGACTCGGAACGCCACCTACCAATTTACAATGCTGCCACACCACCTTTTTCTTTCAAAACAATCGAAGCAATTCTCGTGGCACGCTTTGTCGCATTATTTTCACGCTAACAGTTGGTACGCCCTTTTGAATCATGACATAGTCGTAAGCTTGCCCGTATTGTACCCGCAGACATGATTTATAAATAAGTGGTGCTACAAGTCCACATAGTTTCTCGCATTACTAACAGTTATGTAATGTAATAATACTACATGAACCTGTGAAACTGTTTCCAACATGTTTTCTCCACGCTGGGCTTCAAACTCAGGTCTCAGGAGTTACCACGCCAGTCACAGTACCCCTACATCATGAATCTCACAATTAATCTCAATCTTCCGACGCTCAAAAATGATGTACATTTACTTGTGCAATTTTCTAAAAGATTTTCATTGACATTATTTGAAGATTTAAAAACATATTTCTTTATGGAAACAATCTCCATCTTCCATAATGTAGTTGCACAAAGACACCCAATAAGTATTGAACTTCTGACAGTTTCGAAAATTCAGAGATTTCAACGTAAATGGATTCTGTGTCAGTGACGTGGTAGAGTAATTTACTACACACAGGTATATGATTTATACACTTTAGGTTTCAACAATATGAGTTTCTCTGGCAAAAAATCGCCGATTTCTGACGTATCATTACAATATTTTATCTTTACTCCGTAAGTACGTAGTAAATAGATAGTAAAAATGAATGGGTTAAAACCGGAATGGTGTAAGTGACATTTTATAAATTATGATAAAAACGTGTTAATTTTAGGCTTATGGTGTTAATGATGAAACAAAGCACCTCGACTATTTCATTAATATTTACTTGAATAAACAGATTTCTCTGAAAATATAAAATGTCACTTAGACCGTTCTGGTTTTCACCCATTCAAATATGAGTTCATATCGTTGATGTCAATGCGACGGTTCACAGACACTTGACGACTGGTCGTTCGACATTTTCGGGTTGTCGGAAGCGGCTCAGCAACAGCCGGTCAAGTTCCTGGGCTACGACCTCATCAACCGGTACGGCATCATCCACAAGTTCAAGGTGCCGCCGGCCACGCTGGAGGCGTTCCTGTCGCGCGTCGAGGAGGGCTACTGCCGCTACCGCAACCCCTACCACAACAACCTGCACGCGGCCGACGTGTCGCACGCCGTGCACTACATGCTCTGCCAGACGGGGCTCATGGTACGTCCTTCCGCCCTTCCGCCCACGCGTCTAGCTTCTTGTTTCTTCTTCTCCTCCTCCTCCTCCTCCTCCTCTTCATTCCTTTCTTCCTCCTCTTCTTCCTACTCTCTTCCTTCCCTTCTTCCTCCTCTCTTTCTTCTCGTCTACCTCCTCCATCTCCTAATCTTTTCCCTCCTTTTTCCCCTCTTTCTCTTTCTCCTCCTTACCCTTCTAATTTTTCTATCTCTTATTATTTTTTTCTTTCCTTCGTTTTCTTTTTTTTCTCGTACATCTTTTTCTCCTTTTTGGCCGACTCTTTCCTCTTCGTAATCCTAATCTCATTCTTCTCATCCTCCACATCCACTCTTTTTCTGCGACTCAACTTCCTTTTTTTCTACCCTCCTATCACTCAGATCCTTTTTTGTTTAATTTTTGTCTTCACCTTTCCCCCATCTTGTACTTGTAGCTGAACTACCCTTTAATGAAGCGTCTTTTTCTTAATTTAAATATTTACATTTTATTTTTTTTAAGTCAAGTTTCTTCACAATACGCTCACACACACATTCAGTGACGGATCCGATGGGGCGTTCGGCGCATGCCTCCCTCCGTATGCCCAGAGTTTTTGTTTATTACCGATCTTGATTTGTCAAAATCGATTTTGAGATTTATGTTAGAGTTATGTAAGTATTTAAAACATAATATATATAATATGTTTATTATTTACAAAAAATCTATGATGTCCTCTCCCAAATATAGCATCTTGTGAAATAGATACTCAAATGAATGACCTGTTTATTACAGACTTATTCACGTTTTTGTAACAAATTATTTCAATAAAAACATTACATTTACAAATGCTTTAGTAAAAAACACTATATTTTATTTGTTTATGATATTACAAGATTCACATTCACACGTTCCCGCAGATTTTTTGAAAATAGTCTCTTAAAGATTGCTTTTAATATTATTCCTTCCTTCTGTCCTGAAACACTTGAATAATCATTAAACATAATCTATTGAGTCATTCTTCTATCATTCTTGATCTTAATCACAATTTTGCCCTGCGCAACATGGCCCTTCACTGCAAAGAGTATACATCGTGCAAAAACGTTGTCATTGTATTACTTTTAAAAGAATTAACTTTTAAAAATCTGTTAAGTATTCTCAATGGTAAACGTCAAACTAAGAAGTTAGAATTCCCATTCCCCTTTAGCTACGAGGTTAAGTCATTAAGAATCTTCTGTCAAAGTTAATAATTGATTACAATATAAAATAACAATGGGACCGTTATTTCACACAGGCAACAAACAATTCAATATCGTTGTTCCATTCGGCACCCGCTTTCCGATGCCTTCAGTAAAAGAATATTAAATTTAGCAGTCTGCCATGTATGTACTGCTTCCTTACCTATAGACTGGAGATAAACCTTCGGCCACTTAAAGCATCTTTAAGTGAAACAAACAGATGGTAATTAAACGACTTAAAATCCGAACTGTATCGTGAATAAAGCGATAAAATGATGCAACTTACCGTAAGCAAAGTAAACTATGTCATCTTATGACTGGTACTTAGCTGTACAGTCAACCTAAACACGATTAAAACGAAAGAGCAGACACATTGACTTACTCTCCTTCAAATTACAGTCAACTACGGTTGTAGTGAACGTCTGGGGACTAACATTTTTGGTTCACTACATCCGATGATGTCAAAATTAAATAGAATTTCTCCATAACGATTGATTCTATATTAATATAGAGATACATCGAAATACATGAACACGAAATGAAAATTTCAATATATTTATATTGTCCTTAAAAAGTAAATTATTTTCAGTGGTTTGGTTTGTATATTTTTAATTAGTAATTTCTCTAGATCCTTCTCTAGTGTTCGTTCTCTCTCCACACTTGATTCTGCATTGTCTTCATTGTCCAAGTATCGTAATGTAGTGTTCACACCCTTCCATGCCTCCTGCACTGTTGGAACACCATCCTACACTCCGAAGGCCGTTTTACTCGCCTAATAACATACGAGTTGTTTTCCGTAGCGGTATGGCGCAAGCATCGAATGAAGGTGATCGCCTTTTCCACGCGGCATGGCATGGCGAATATCGTCAGGCTGTGGCAGTCGCGTGCTTCCGGTCACCTACGTACTCAACGCGCTTAGTCCTGCGGAATATCAAGTAAAAAGATTGACACTGAAGTAGGCAATCGCGCGTCGCCGCCGATAGTGGTTGCTCACAGTTTAGTGAGCTACCACGCAGGACACGGTCTTCGTTTCTTCAGTGAAACTGAGTGGCATAACGTCATCAGTAAGTACCTTATTCCGTGTTCCTTCACCACGCGGGAGACGTCTACGATTATGACCTTCTGCCGAGGATATGTTTTAAGCGGCCTAGTAATGGAATTTGTGGCATTGAGTCGCTATATCATTTTCCAGGAGAGAATTAATTTCCAGGACGTTGTATTTCCTCCGTTCACGATAGCCGAGGTTCCGGTTCACTGTAACCGAATCTTCTTATGCTTAATTATCTTATGTAAGTAAAACGGGACCAGTGACATAAGTTGGTTTAACCGAATCTTCTTATGCTTATTTGTAATGTAAGTTAAATGGGACCAGTGACTTAAGCTCACTATAACCGAGGGTTCACTATAACCGTAGTCGACTGTTATCGCTATTGGGTCGTAGTGGATACTGCACGACTTCTAACGAATTGCGTGGATTGCTTGACAGAACTGGCTGACCGACTTGGAGATCTTCGCGACGTTGGTGGCGGCGCTGATCCACGACTTCGAGCACACGGGCACCACCAACAACTTCCACGTGATGTCGGGCACCGACACCGCCCTGCTCTACAACGACCGCGCCGTGCTCGAGAACCACCACGTCAGCGCTGCCTTCAGGTACGCCTCCACCGCCACCTCACCCCCCGTTCACAAGCACTGTGAAAGCACGACGACGAAAGAATATACCTCTCTGAAAAACTACCCCGTATTAAACGACCATACCTCTCAACGACTTTTTTTTCTTTTTTTTTCTTTTTTTTTCTTTTCGAACGGACACTGAATTCCATATATTATACCCAGGAGTGTAATATTCATAAAAATGTAATATGTGATCGGAGAAAGGAGTTTCTGTTAACAGCCCTTGTAACAGGCAATTTCTTTCCTCGACCACTGACCACACTCTTAAACGCAAATTTCTTAATTTATTCCTTTTAAGAGACCACTTTCAGAAAATTGAAAGCACAAATAACACAGAATTTCTAGTACTTAACACAAAAATTGCCGACATTGTAAAAAATTCGCGCCTCATGTTCTGTGCCTCAACTTTATTCTTTAGGAAAGTAAAGAAAACGGGGGGATTTCGGGAATGAAGTAACAATAAACCGTGGCGAAAATGAAATGTTATTGCGACTGCTCGCTCCATTTCAGTTTCGTTTCTTTTAATGAGACTGCGAGTATGAAGTGAAGTAATTCTTTTATTAAAGAGAGCCTTCTTTTTCTTACCTTCCTGGGAGAAATCTGGTGCTTTAGAATATCAGTGTCGGAAGTCAGTATTATCGACTTGCCTCGTAACACGCGAGTGTTTATGTTGCGTCGGGAATCTGAGCCGACCGCTCATCCAAGACCCATCGCTTGAAGTTTTTTATTGATTTTTTGTGCAAAGAAGTGCGAGAAAAGCGAGGGATTCAGCTCCAAAGACAATAAAATGTCATGTATGTCCAAATAAAACATAAGGTCTCATAAGAAAATTGAGGTTTATTACTCATAGACAACTACTGGGTGTACTAAATCTGAAAATTATGTAAACCTTTTTTTGACCAAGAGAAGGACAGATACATATTTTAAATGCATTTAAAAAGATACTACAATATTCTAAAAAGGCAGTTAAGCAAAAAAGTAAAAAAAAAGACCAAAAAATACTTACTTCAACTTTTCGTTTTTCATAATTCATGCTATACTAAAACCCGTTTATAACCATGTGATATAACAGGCTTTCCTTAATTCCAGATGTCTAGTAGTAATAGCCCACTTTTTTTGCAAAAGATAATATTCCTCTTCTGAAGCGAATACCCCACTAAAAGATCGCTTTTTCATGGAAGCAACAGTGGTTGAAAGTAAGACGAAGAAAGACTATTGACCCAGTGAGTATTAATACCGAACGCGTCAACTACTTCGGTCATTAGTCCCGTAAGTGTAGCGCATGTTATAACCCGAGAGATGGCAGTCTTTCACTCCCGATGGTTCCCGCCCCGAGTTATCTTTACACGAAGCACCCTGTAAACTGCCAGTTGGCGGCCAGTCCCTGGCGTAGTGCATGTTAGCGTGTTGGAGAGGACGGGCAATGACGGATGGGGAAGGCAAGATGGCGGGGGTGACGGGCGCGCGCGGGTGCGCAGGCTGATGCGGGACGACGACTGCAACATCCTGCAGAGCCTGACGCGCGACGAGTTCCGCGAGTTCCGGGCGCTGGTCATCGACACGGTGCTCGCTACCGACATGAGCTTCCACTTCCAGCAGCTCAAGACGATGCGCGGCCTCCTCAGCCTCGCCGAGCCCACGTGAGTTCATTTATTTGTTTATTTATTTACGTCAGAAACGGTTAAAAACTGTGTGTGACGTGCTGTGGGGAGAAGTTAATTTGAAGTTACATTTATGTCCAGAAATAAAACAAGGGGCATCTCAGCATTTACTCGAGGATCAGGGAAACGACGAAAACCTGATCGAGATGGGGGTCATTCACCCACAAGCTGAAGTTCAATACTTGTTTCAGGTTCTTTACAATTATACAATCCAAATGGTATTAAATATATTAAATGTCATTGTTAAAATTAACATAACTTTCATTTTGGATGCTCGGTATAGTCTCTAATTGTATAGAAAAAGTTGTGCAGAAGAAAAGATTTTACCTGGGACTTACACTTTTGTATCGAATTTAATCGTTTTATGTCATTTGGCAAGGTGTTTTAAAATAATGTACATGCAGTCGAGTGTTGTAGGTATAGATAACGGCGTTTGCTGAAAATATATTTCCACCCTTAAGTAAGTCATTTTGTCAAAAAACCACTGATTCGTATACGAAGAGACAAGGTAATGGTAAAATACCTAGATGAATAAAGAAAGGCTTACAAGAATCACGTGAGTGGGTGAATTCCCCCGGGGTCTGCTGGCGAAGGGAAGGGAATACGAATGATGAATGAATGCACGAGAAAACGAATGAAGAATGAATAGGAAACGAATGACAAATGAGTGAAAGAGAAAACACATAAGGAATGAATAGATTGAAGGATGAAAAATTGCATGAATGAATGTACGAACGGATGTGTTGATGATTGCTTGCATGAATGAATGTACAAAGGAATAAATGTACGAAATAATGAAAGTACGAAGGAGTGAATATATGAACCGATGAATGCACCAATGAATTTACGAATGGATGAATCCATGAATGAATGAACGAACGGATGAGTATTGAATGGTACATGTCAGAGTGATTGAGGAAGTATAATTTGTGTGTTATGACGAATATAAAGCAATAAATGTGTTATAGGTGACGAGGCTCAGTTTCGACCCCTATCTTTTGAATGACTTATTTCAAAAATATATTTATCCGTATGTTTCTACAATATCAATGCAAGGGTTTAACATAATAGTTATTTATGATGATAATGGTAAAAGTTGCATTTTATTTTATGAGTCAGAAAGGTTTCCACACGAGACCGAGAGGCCTTGTGGTTTGCGCAAAATGAATTACTTTTACCACGTGTGTCATAAACTATTTTCTAGACAGTCTTATTTTATTTTATTTTATTTTAATTCAGCATACAAGTCGCTACGATACATTAATGTCAGCAGTTGTTGATGTGATCAGACGAAATTACTTTGTTTTCGTTATTGTATTCAGATTTTTATCTATTTGAGAATCCTCTCACTTTTAGCGCTAGTGCTAAAATTGAAATTTTGGCACCCTGTGCATTCCCTAGAAGTAACTGCTGTTACTAATACTTCTAAAAAAATTGTTTTTCTGTATTTTCTCTGTACGATTTCGCTTCCACTTGCCCTTCCAAAACTAGCAGTCTCAATGCACTGTTCTTGGTTCAGCCCAAGGCAGATCAAGTTGATCAGTTCGATATTTTAAAAGAGATTAATTAACTTCGTAATGTTATTCAATACATGCAAATGTCGAATGTTTGGATCTCTTAAATCTTTTTCATCCCTTATGTTTACAGTTTTCCTTTCTGGCACATCATTATGTCACAAATGTGCACCACTCATCACTTTACAGCAGAAAACATATTGTAGTTTGCCGGAAAATCATTAGTGATTTTCATTAATTAAATTAATTCATTAATTAATAGTGAAACAGTCGAAGTATTTCATACGATATATGATACAATTGAAAATGTTATAGGTTAAATTCAGAGCCAATTCCAAAAAAGTGTTTGCTATCTAAGTACCAAGTCCCAATGAAATACGCTTACATCCACTAAGAAATACGAAATGAAAAGTTGCGACCTCCACGCCATTGTACCTTCCCACGCACGCGCGTTTGCCATCGCTGCTGCGCAGGGTGGACAAGTCGAAGGCGCTGTCGCTGGTGCTGCACTGCTGCGACATCGCGCACCCGGCCAAGCGCTGGGAGCTGCACCAGCGCTGGACAGCGCTGCTGCTGGAGGAGTTCTTCCGGCAGGGCGACCGCGAGCGCGACCTCGGCCTGCCCTTCTCGCCGCTGTGCGACCGCAACAACACGCTCGTCGCCGAGTCGCAGATCGGCTTCATCGAGTTCATCGTGGAGCCCTCGCTCGCCGTGTGCAGCGACATGATGGAGACGGTGCTGGGCCCCATCATGGCCGGCTGCAAGACGGACAGCGCCGCCGGCTCCATCGCCGAGGAAGGTACGTCCATCGCTGAGGCAGTCTTTGTCCTGAGGAACTGTTTATTTTGATGCAGAAAACCTATGTAGGTGGCTGACTTGTCTCTCCGTTCTTGGCTTCCCTACTACCTTTTCTATCGGACCTTCTGGTCCATCCTAACCGTCCGTCCGACTGTCCTTCTGTCCGTTCGGCTGCACTCTGACCGTCTCTTCACCCACCCCTCTGTCCACCCGCCCTTCTGCCCACAACCGCCCTTCTGTCCACCACCATTCTGACCGACCACCCTTCTGATTGTTTGCCTGCCCGCCTGCCTTTCTGTCCGCCCGCCCATCTGTCCGCCCGCCCATCTGTCCGCCCGCCCTTCTGTCTGTCTGTCCGCCCATCCTTCAGTCCGCTGCTTTAACTGACCGTCCGCTAGACTTTCTATCCGCTTTTTTATCCGACCGTATTTTCTGTCCGTTCGCGAGCCCTTGTCCCCGTCTGTCTACCTTTCGCTTCCATTGTTTTCTACTTTCGTGGTGTTTCTTTGGCAGGTGGACCCCCGGTCGAGCACCAGACTAGGAGGTACACGATCAAGAAGCCCTGGTCAGCCTGCCTGGCGGAGAACAAGCGAATCTGGAAGGAACAAGCGGCCAAAGGTACCACAGCATTACTACTTCGCACATATTAGTGTGTGTTTGTGTGTGTTCGCGCGTGTGTGTGTGTGTGTGTGTGTGTGTGTGTGTGTGTTCGAGTGTGTAGAGGGAGAGGGAGGTTACATATTCTCCACTCTTCTCTTTCACTTGCATATTTTAAATAACAATTGGTAGCAAATCCACTCAATCGTTTCAAGAATAATATTCTAACCCTCGCATTAAAAATCGAAAGTTTTTACCTCATTGAGTTGTTTATAAAATATTCACATAAATGTTTTGTAGAAAATAGTGAACAATGGCAAAAGTTTGGTATATGCAAATACAATATTTGTAATAAAGGGAGAAAGCAGTAAATTCTCACTTTCATGTAGATACACCTATGTTCACCATTATTCGCACCTACATGTACATCTTAACATCTTAACATCCATCAACCAATTCCAATGGAAAGTCTGTGGTGAGACAGTTTACTTAATTTTCATGTAAATGTTTCATCTGCTCAAGACTTGTTGTAACAAAGTTGGACCAAATAACTGGACGAATGTCTCCTGCAACCCATAGCACGAAAGAGGAGAGGCGGCTCTCAATTTGTCACCGTCTTAAATTCGGGAGCGCCGAATATCGTTTTAAAAACGCAGGGAAAATATTATGCATTAGAGATGTTCAGACAATTTTGAAACATTTATGTGTCCTTCGAATCCGCCATAACGAGAAAGTTACGGCAATATTCTTTGATTTATTTGTAGCGGTGCTTGACGTAAATCAGCGGTTGAGGGTATCATCCTATCGGGAGCTGAAACGTCACCACAGTGACGTCACCGCGATGACGTTCAATCTCACGATTGGACGGTAACCGCTTATATGAGTGTGTGTGTGTGTGTGTGTGTGTGTGTGTGTGTGTGTGTGTGTGTGTGTGTGTGCATTTGTGTTAAATTTGTTTTTTTTTTAAGTGTTTGGTATAGTGAAGTTCGTAATTCTGACAACGCTCTTCCACTATTTCAAAGTTAGTTTTGTCTTCAATCCATTTCAGAATGCGACTCGGTTCGTGCAATTGTGACTTGTAAGAAAGAACTGAATTTTAATTTTGAGTGTTTGTAGAAGCTTATTGCGAACAGAACCAGTGCAATGAACGGTCCAATGAATGTAATTGATAGAAATAAAACTAATATGAAAAATAAGTGTCATATTTTGAAAGATGCTTGTATAATTGTATCTTCTCTGCTGGGGTAGAGAAATCAAACAGCGCTCAGCAATGCCATTACATCTTAGACTTCGCAAAAAGCATGAGTGATATAAACTCGTGCTTATTGCAGCCACGAATGACATACCGAGAACATTACATCGAATTATTCGATCATTTACGGAACGCTTTATAGCCAAACCCATAAAGATATACGACGCTAGTACTGATGGCTATGATCTTTTCGGATAATTTAGCGCTAGGAGAAAGAGAAAAGAGAAGTGGAGGAGGACGAAGGTGTAGATTGGGAAGAGTGAAGAGGGGAAAGAGATAAATGGAAGGACGAAAGGGGGGGGAGAAAGAAGAAAGCAAGTAAAAATAAAAGAAAAGGGGAGAATTGTTTGTATTAAAAAAAACATTAGTGCAGGCAAGAGTTTAGATCTCGCTGCCTACAAATCGTGAAAGCAGCCACAGTCATTTCTTTCGTGCGCTTCCATTTCGGCCGGCGTTGCTATCCGAATTTCTTAACTACGTGTAGTTAATGATGTCACGGAGAACAAGCAATTCGAGACATCTTCGGTTCCTGGATGGATGACCTCGGATTTAATGACTCCGAGCCCCTGGCCAAAGGGATAAAAAGTACGATTACGTTAACTGACGATTAAGTTAACTGAAGATTTCTAGTCCTTCTACGCTAATATGTGCTAATAGAACGTTGTTACGAAAAACGTAACAGAATTTGTAAAAAACTCGTGGTGCTAAAACAACACGTATTTTCTTACCCGTACTTTCACGCAAATTTTCGTAAATTGTACATGACCTTATTTCAAAATCTATCTTTAAGGAACAGTTTTCATTAAGGGGGATATCTCTATCTTTATAATTGTATTTGTAGGATGACGCCGAAAATAATTTGAGTTTTTGCAATTTTCGAAAAATCCGTTTTCAACGAAAATGAGACATGCACCATTCCCTTTAAACGTCCTTCATACTACCCCACAACAAAATTTAATAAACTATTAGTGCTACAGAATGGCACAGACTTTCCCGTGTTAGTTTTCTATTTCCTTTAGTCTTAGCTAGCTATTCGGACTTGCTACATACACTTGTCAGCTGCCATCTATCGCCGCTTAAAGTACACTTTTTTACATTTTCTTAATATTTCGGTTTCCTAATAGTAGAGCGAAAATATTATTTTAAGAATACTAAAGAACTGTTAAACCCAGTCTAAATGTCAATTTCCTTCGAAAAATTTGGAGAAGTTTTCAAGAAAATGTTTTTTCAGCGCTACTGTAAATGCGATTTTGAAGCTCTTTTTTTATAGAATTTCTTTGAAATCCGCCGTTCTTTTCGCGCAGCATTACGTAACTTTTCCTACACTACGTATATACATATGCATGCGGGTAAGTAAAAACAACAGAGCAATTTTTTGAAAATTTTTAAAATTCCTCAGGGGCTTCATGTAAAGTACTACTCAAAATTAAAAACACCGGTTTGAATTTCAAGGGGTCGTGACATCGGCCAGATCGTTTGGGAATATCAATTTTGGAGAAAATTTGCTGAACGGTTTAGCCGCTAGCGTTGTTCACAGATGGACGGACGGAGAGACGTCATTTGATTTTTCGGTATCAAGGACCCACAAACCATGGATTCTGCCCCCACCATGTTAGAGGATTTCCCTCCTCTAAATTAAGCAACTGGATACCAGGGCCCTGTAAAAAGAGCTTTTCTGCCGAAAATTCGGCGTTTTTCGCGCAGCATTACACATCTTTCTCTCTAGTGCGTAAGCGGTATTGAGAACGTTAAATCCGCCGTTGTGTGCTCCACAGACGCCGAGGCGCGAGCGCAGCAGCAGCAACAAGCGGAAGAAGCAACCGCCACAACTGCTGAAGAGTAGTAGCTGGCTCAATCGCCTCCAGGGTTGCCTTCGGCGCCGGCGCCGGCGCCGACGCCACCGCCCCGGCAGAGTTCGAGTGAAGGTCTTGCAGCCTCCACCATCGCCCACATGCAGTCGCCATCATCACCGTCGCCGCACTCACCACCGACATCGCCTCATCGTTTGCGGCCCTCGTGCTAGCGTTCTCCCGCCATTCCGAGCACTGACATCGTAACCTGCCTGTGGTGTCTCCCTCGCCCGTTTTTCTCGGTTTCTTCGAAAACGCTCAGTGATCGCGCCGAGCCAGAACGAAGAGAAATCGAATATTTCTATTTTTAAAAGTACATTGTACATACATTTTTCCAATGATTGACAAAATTATATATAAAATATGTATCATAAGCTATTTCAAATTGTATATTTATATTGGTTTGAACATTTTAATTGCACATATTTAATATGTAAAATATTTTTATTGAATTACAAGAAACTAGTACTACATTGAGAAACCGATGAAAACTTTAGAAGAGACACTATTGGCACCATGTTCAGTTTTTAAAAAATGGTTCTCGGATGACACCGAAGAATGAGATATGGCCGCGATTTCCAAAGCCCCATTGAATCGGGCTTGGAAAAACCCTGTCTTCAGCTTTCCGACATCGCAGCTTGCACCCAAATATCGCAATGACAGACTTAGACAATGATGACAGAGGGGTTGTCTTGTGCGGTGTCAAAAGTAGCCATTTCCTAGTACTGCTCGCTGACCTTCAGATTACTCATCATTCCAGTCACTCATTGAAATCTTCTCCCAGGAAGACCAGCGAGTGTCTGTAGTACCTCTAAACGCTTCCTCTTGGTTTCTTTCCATAGCCAATTCTAACTTTTGTGAGGCATTTGCGCGATAGGTAGGTAGTGCATGGTTCGCAACGCCGCGGGCGTAAAGTGCATGCAAGATGGCTGCCGTGTATTATTTCATTGTCAGAGGTGGATGCCCGGCTCGAAGCGAGTCGATTAAGGACTGTGAAATATGTGCCCTTCTATGTACGCGGAATGTATGAATAGTGCAGATCCTGGGTGCAAGAACGCCCGCTTGCACGCCGAACATGCGATTAATATTTTTCTAACGCATCGTAATGTAAAATTGCTTTACATTCGTGATATGAACGCCGTAGAAATTTCAGCTCATACTTTGCTTGTCAAATTTCTACCCCTGATAAATACATTCATGCAGAAGAGGCTGTTAAGTCGTGCCATTTATGGTGACATGAGTCACACTGATGTCAGAATTCAACAGAACATTCTTAAATCACTGATCTAACAGAAAGAATTCATCGATAAAGAAACAACTGAACAACATTTAGGGTGTGAACAGGGTATTGTAGTTCTGTTGTGGATTCCTGTGGAGTGAGAAGAAATAGGAAAATATATTATCTACAGCTAATTTAAAGATTTTGTATTTTTACTTTTGAAAACAGATGAATATTACTACCTAAATGATAGGATTGTATCATGAATCTAATTGATAAGCAGACACTATGTCGTTACACAATCTGACTGAAAATCATGTTTGACACGATATACTACTAGGTTTGATGGAAATGATTGAAATTGCTAATAATGAACAAGTCAGTTATCACATGTATGTATCAACAAATGAAGTTTTTTTGTTATAATTTCTCAGAGGAAATTCTTAAAGTGAAATTTGATTTCTCAAGAAGAAAAAAGAGATTTTTTATGTTTAATGATATTACAACAATTTGAAAATAACATACTTTATGCATGATATCCTATTACATCACAACTCTCAAAATACATACACATCTCACTCTGATAGTCTAGTGATGATTTTTAACAATTTCATAATGATTATTTATAATTTCATAATGAACAATGCTAGTAAAATAACCACAGAGTTCACTGTTCATGGTGATAGTTAAATCAATATTAGGGCCTAATTGGGGACACTTTTTGCTTATGAAATATCTTATAAATTACAGTGATTAATACTGTAATGTTATAAATAAGTTCAATAAAAATATTGTTTGAATTAAGTAATTTGGATGTTATATCACCTGTAATAGATTTGATTTTATTGAAACCATTAAGAAAGTAATTAAGGCAATGAATAAAAAGTAAATACCTTGAAATTATTTCTTCAAAAATACAGTATGTGAATATTACTAATATGAATGAGATATATTAGTGTATGTGGCATTTATGCAAGAAGACACCTTTCTTTAATTACTGCAGTCAAAAAGAGCCAACAGTATCAGAAATTTTCTCCAAATAAATCTGTTGGCTTATATTTACATTATAAATTTCATGTACTTAACCTTTGTTTTATCAAGATGAAATTCTCCATGAAAATCATTGGTTGTAACTGAGTTGAGAAATTTTGTATTAAAGCAAGAGACTGAAACATGAAAATATAACTTTGTCATATTTTAAATATTAGTTCACGTATTACTTTACGAATTAGTAAATGTATTAGTACCTGTTCAGGAGGTAGACAGATGGAAATGTAAGAGCTGCTAAGAAGTTCACCACAAAGTTTAAAATTATAGATTTTTTAAAGAATGAAATGTCTGGTTCCAGTATTAAAATTGAACACTAAAGAATTATGTAATAATGAAAGACAAATGGACATGAACAAAGACAGGCATCAGCTTAAAGCTAAGTTTAGAGAATAAAGAAACTACAAAAATATGCTGCTTAAATGTTTAGTGTTTAATGAACATAGGCCCTACGTAAGTTTATTGAATGAAAATATATTTATTAATTTATGATTGTAAATAATCAAAGGATTTTCTTAGTAGCTTGAATTTATTCCAGAATGGGAATATAAGTTTACACTTGTGAAATAGACTTTTATAACCTCCAGCGGTTTCTTCTTATTCAAAACATTCGTCAGGTAAATGAAAATTCAAAATTTTAAGAGAGTTAATCGCAAAATATTTTGAAACATCATCAGAATACGATAACTCTGACAATATCTAGCTGAAAAGTATTTGAATTAAGCAACATATTAAAAAGTTTGAATAAAGGTCAGAGACAATGAAAAATATTTCCCAAGTGGAGCACTTTGAGAGATTTTTATGAAATTAGTTCTCACAAACTTCTGTAAAAAACTCAATTTGCGATAATGAAAACAAGAGAGACTATTTCAAGATCTATTAAAATTGGATTTCACTCAAAATAATGACAAAAAAAATGCAATTTTCATTGGTGTGCTACAAATTGGAAGAAATCACAAATGAAAGAAAATTTTGCAATAAATGTCTGCATGACCTCTGAGGATTCTTTGATTGTGGCACAATAAATTGAACATTTCTTAACATATACTTTTTGTAATGAAATTTACTACAAGAGAGCGAGGACTACTGGAACTCTTTAACACTTGTAACTGCATGTACATTTTGTAGTCAGGTCAAAGAATTCTTCATGACCTGGTAATGTGTAGTATAGGGGCATAGCAAGGATAATAAGCACTTGGAAAACCTGTATAAAGTTACACATTTTTTTGTGAACATTTAAAGTGGAAGCAATTCTTAATTACCCATTTCACATTAAAATCTCTTCTCTCTTTTGTTATATTTGTCCTTTTCATAATAAGTTATCATTATATCACTTTCAAAGTAATTAAGTACCAGTACTTAGAAGAAAAGATGAAACCAAAGTGTAACATTTTTCTAACATTTAACTTTTAGTGCCTTAACTAGTCTATATGTTTCCTGAATTTGGATATGAATCTTCTTGTACATAAAAACAGTTTAATAACAGAAGCAATTGTAAATTATGCTTTTTAGAAATTCACAGTTAAAATATTTTTTTTCACTTCCCTGTTTCCTAAGGTTAAAAATAATTTGTATTTTTTTTTAAAAATTATTTATGTTTTATATAATATTTGAGAGGGGAAAAAGCCACATTTTTTACGGTTCAACTTTTTAAAAACTTGATACAATGTGTTATTAATTTAAATCTATTGAAAAGAACAAAACACATGTAATTATAACATTGCTAACTAGTTTTTGGTTTTCTAAATTGAATTAACATAAATATTCAAGTCTTTGTGGTATTTCATAATATAAACTATATTAGTAATAAATTTTAAAAAAGGTGTTAAATTGACAATTACATGTTTGCAGTAACTTAATTGATTATGAATGGTCGGTGCTAGGATAGTGTTAACAGGAATAAGAGACCTCTGAGCTAAGAAGTAGTGATATTCCTATCTTAACAACCACTAACAGGAATAAAAATTACCATTTAACCTGTCATTATATTATATTATACTTCTACAATTTATTACATTATATTACTACAATTAAACATATACTTACTGGTATGAATCTTTAATAAAATCACTGCTCAAATCAGTAAAAATGTGGACAAATGTCCAGAGACACAAACATTTCCATAAGTTAATTTTATTTGATGAAAAATAAAATAAACTGAGACATTCAAAGTAAGCATACACACATATTGCAAATCATATCCCCATGTGCTGTACCTTGCTGTGCCTGAGACATAGTATGATAAAATTGTAGTTAAGAAATGCTGCCCTACAAGACCTTTGCGGTAAACTGATAAATCGAGCTTCATGTAGCTGTGACTTCTTCTCATTCTCCTCAGGCCTTAGGACTCATTGCCTGCTCTGGAAACACAGTTATTTTCATCCAAACTCAATACCTGTGTTCACCCTTTGTAATCTTCTTCTTGTGGAGCACAGCAAACACTTCTGAAAAACTACGTAGCATAGAGATCAACGTCTCAATGGATCTTACCTTGATTTGTAATGTACCTCCAGAAAGTGATGTCAGTGTTTCTTAGTCCTGTGTGGAGACTTCCTCTCTTATTTCTTATGAATGTAAAATTGAACCTGAACTCCTGTGTTCAGTCATGGACATGTGATAGAAATATTCTGTGTCAAGTTTACTAGATGTGACAGAGACAAGTTTGTTTAAATCCACAATTGATAGGTGACAAACAGTATGTACAGATTTGAATTTTTAAGAAATATTTGTTAATGCTTTCCTATTTAAGGTGATTGGATTTTGCTTGACATGTGCAAATTGAACAGATTCATCCATGTGTATCAATCAATCTCATTTTGTGTATTGGCTAGTTTAATTTAAATGTGTCAAAATATGGATTCTGTCACAAGAATCTAACCTGTATATTTCTAAAATGTCTTCTAGCCA